TATTATGACTTTTGACAAAAATGAAATGACCCTCCCCTGAGGTATGTTTGTTTTGAGGAAAAAAAGTTCAGCCTTCAGGGACTTGCAAAACAGAGAATTCATCCACTGGATAGAAGTTGATAAATTCCCTTTTAGGAAAATTCACCTCTTTTGTTAAAAGTTTCAAAGGAATAAGAAGTTTTAATTTCACCAAATGAGTATTTTCTAATAGAAGCACTGTCTCAGAAAATGTTTAACTGACAAACAAAACCTCTTTTTAAAGCACGTGGCACTGATTTTAATTCTTTTGCTAGTCGGGAACTATTAGAAAGAGGAGCTGTACAGATGTGTTCAGGATGTACACTGTATTATTTAATAGGTCCCTTCTACTTCTGATTTCAATAATCCCCTGAAATATTTATGGCCTTGCCAGCACCATGAATACACAGACAATCTATCTCTTTATTTACCATTATGCTGCTCCTTCCTGAGCAGCTCTTCGAGAAAGGAAGTAAAGGTACAGTTCTAGTTTATTAGCTGAAAGAATATTGAAGGTATGCTACCCTCCCAACGCAGTTCTGTCCCCACAAAAATTATCTGGCAGGAAATAATCTTCTCTTTCTAATACTAGCAGTATAAAAAGACAGCAGTGTGAGTTTCAGCAACCACTGGCAACCAGACAATATTCCTGGGGTCAACAGAAGACTTGTATTTTGATATTCAGCCTCTGCAAGTGCATTTTAATATCATTAGCCTAATTATCAGAAGTCAAGTTAGCCAGGGTATGCCTACCCATGCTACAACTACATCTGGATTTCGCTGTACAGGCAAACACCAAAAAGTGGGGGACAAGCCCACACTTGTATGTCAACTACTTCAGAACTCTCATGCGGAACTACAGCCAATTATCTGTACAAAATATAGCACTGTTTTTCAGGAACAAACCAGTAAAAGTCTATATGGCATTAATTCTGTTGTAATAAACAACAAATAAATAGAGAAGAAAGATGAATACTTAACGATATTAAGATTAAAAGTTCTCAAAATAGCAAAACTGGTATTTGTGAAGACTTGCTGCTCTACCTTGTTAACTGTGTTTCACCTACGCTGTCAAAAGAATTTGTGGGGACAACTAACACTTTGCTAAACATGCAATGGTTTTGGCAACTGACTATAATATAGTTTAAAAGACTAAACTGAAGAAATGGGTAGATTGCATATTTCAGCCTGAGACCTTAAGACTTTGGTACAAAGATCAAAAGCAACTTAACTATCAAGAGAACAAGCACTAATGGACACTACCACCAGCAGCTTCCATCGCCTTCTTTTTATAGATAGGTGGTATACAAAGAAAAGTAATACAAAAACTGGATAATTAATCTTCTGCCTGTAGAATCTTCATAATCAAAGGCATAGTAACTACTGTGACTAGCAAGATCAATATCATAGAATCATAGAATAGTTAGGGTTGGAAAGAATCTTAAGATCACATCTAGTTCCAACCCCCTGCCATGGGCAGGAACAGCTCACCCTAAACCACGTCACCCAAGTGATACAATATCAGTAAGGGAATAGGAACTTTGGAAGCTATATTAATTTGGAGACCATTTCAGAGGACTTCAGCATGACTGCCGTGTGTCAGATCCAAGGCTGGCAACAGATTAAAGGAACATATGGGCAAAAAGTAGTTCAAGATGCAGTGCTTGAGTTCCTGCTGAGCAGAGAAAGAGGCTTCATAGCACTTAATGGATACTGATGACTGGGATTACATCAACAAGAGCAAGATTGTATCTTGGATAGAAATTTCAGAGGCAGAATGAGGAAATCAGCAGTCAAAATACTTGAAAGCTGCATTATGCTAGTGCACATTTCAAAATGCCGATTGCCTGCTATTTTATGAAGAGATAAGCGTGTTCCAGGGTTAATCAGATTTTGGCCATTACCAGTACCAAGGATATTTCTTTTCTAATTTTGTAATAGGAAAGAAGAAAATGCTTTCTCAATTTTTTTTAGCATGATTTGCACCATATGGTCTACTAAGTGCAGCCAGCAACTACTTTTAAATGCTACAGTTCTTTCACTGATGCATTATTACCCTTTGTATGATGAAAGTAATTTTATGTCTTCAGGAGATGCTCATATACTACAAAGCAGAAAGGCCTCTCAGGACTTTGTTTCTAAAAATAGCTTACAACCTCTCAAGAAGATGAAGGATGAACCTTTCAAGGGATGAGCTTGATTATTATTCTGTTTGTTACTTTCTTATTTGCATTTCTGGATCTGGAGGATCCTGTAGTAGTAAGCACTGGAAAACAAGTTTGGTTTGGTTGGGTTGTTTTTTTTTAACAGAATCCTTACTTGAAGAATTGCCAAACTGATTTCACATAGCTGTCACTCAACCTACACAGCTGAAAACTGATCTGCGGCGTTATCACAAGGCAATATGTGCTTAGAGATTTTCAGGAATACACTGAACTTCTTGAAACCTCTTGGGCAAAATGTTGTGCTATTATGGATGGAAAAGGATAGTTTGGGTGGCTAATAAATAAATATGTAATTTGGACCTGGTTCTCAAGCATGATCTTCAAGAAGGGAAGCAGTTTCCTTTTGGAAGAACACTCCACAACCTTGTCCTTGCATCTAGATTTGTTTCACATGTAAATGAATCAAAAGGTATTTTGGTTGGGGCTCCTTTACTTGGTGTTGTAGAAAATGAAGCAACTAATGAAAGAGAAGTTCTACTGAGAAGGTAAGATGGTTGCCCAGCTGTATATTTTCATGCACTTAGCAATCTCACATATATTAATTTCAATTCTCTAAGAACTTATTAAGAAATTATTACAGCATAGGCATCTTTGCAGAAGAAAAACCTCCTTCAGTCTGCAATGTAAAGTCTATTGTACTTTTCTCTTTGATGTATGATATTTACGAGATGCTACATACTTGAGAGCCCCCTCTTTATGACAGCCCATCTGGAAGAAAATGGAAGATCATACAGGAAACATTTTGTGAGAATCTGGCATAGAAGACTGCAGACAGAATGCTACTAAACAGTTACTCTGCCTTAATTACTATATTTTGAGCAAGAAGGACAGAGAGAGAAAGCAAGCAAGGTTTAAAGCTTTAATCTCATACACAAGCTTGTCAGAGCCCAAATCTATCTGTAATACTCTCCAAATCAGAATGAACTCAGAAGGATGACGTTCAATCTTTAAATCCTTCTCTGCAGAGCTATATTTAACTCTCAGGTTCACAAAATGGATCCCTGCTGTGGCTCCAGAGCTTTCTAACATGTATCCTACCTATTACATGCAACACAACGACGTTAGAATCCAGTCACATTTAGAACTAAAAGTTCTCCTTGCACGATTTCCTGTGCAATGTGATAGAAACGACTCAATGTGACAGAACTCTACCACTGTCACTAATGGAAAACCAATTATCTCCTCTCCTGGCCACTGTTACTTTTATTTCCAACAGTAACTCTAGTTCTAATATTCTGGGGCCTTCTGAGCAATTTTTGTATCTTACTCCCCCATAGGATGTCATAGTTAGCCAGAAATACTGAATAGTTAACCATTGTCAAATAAGGCATTTTTTGTATCTTGAAACATTTCCTCTACAAATATATTTATTCAGTCCCTTCTAAATGAATTCTCAAACAAGGTAAAAAGGATATTCAAGTCTTTGATACAAAGATTATTGTCAACCATAATTCACCAGCTTTCCAAAAACTCTTGTAATGTGTCAGACCATTTCTGTTTTGTTTTTGCTGGATTAGAACTGACACTTGTGCCCAACTACAGGTAAATACAATCAAAACATACAATTGTTTCGATGATCTGAACTGGGTATCATATAATAAGCCACAGCTGTTTTTTAGATTTGCAGCTGCATGCATGTATTACAGTAACTGCTCATGAGCTAGCATAATGTTTACCAATGGGAACAGATTTCTGTTAACGACCTGAGGATATACATGTATCTCCCAATGAAACTGCAGGCTGCATTCACTCCCTACAGCAAGAAAGTCTTCATTTAGATACTTTGATACATGTAAATTCAGCAGAACAACGTTTTGTAAACATGCCCATATGAAAATAGAGCGTTACAGCCAGGAAACTGTGCTAACTCTACGTGATTTGGGAAATGTTCATATTCCTCACCTTGGCATTAATTTTCTGCTTTAAGATTTCCAGGAAAAAATGTCCTCTAGAATAACTTTATATTTTAATTAGTTTGATGCAGGTGCATTCTGAACTGACACCGAACCTGCCCTGTCCCTCTGGTGCTATCAATGGTTTATTCTGCCATTTCACATCCAGTTTGAAATCAAAGTCTCTATCTTCTGATTTGTTTCCCCAAGGACGTTTCCTGACTTCAAAACTCACATTAAAAAGTCCTTAACAATAATGCTCTGCTTTTCTAAGAACTTGGAGAAGTCTTCTCATTCTGATGCATCCTTCAGGTCCTGAAAGAAGGATCTCTCTCACTGTGGTTTAAGGTACTGAGTTATTAAAGCTCATGTTCCAAAATCCTGTTGACTTAATCTGCATTCACCACTTTTGTTCAAAGCCCATCAAGATCAATGTAAATATTCCCACCAGTGAGTTGCAGGTGATGTCTTTTGAGACAAGGAAACCCAAGTCTCTAGAATACCTTGTGCTGCTTCCTCCTGATGTTTAGACCCTGAACTACAGAAAGTCCTCTGTATGTTGTATTTGGAAGAGTGATGAATGATATTAACAGCATCAAAATAACTTCTTACTATTACACTTTCATCAGGTCTTTGTTAGATAAAAGCCTGTTGATGAACACAAAAGTAAAGAGACTGTGCAAAAGGCAAAGGAAGCAGAATAACAGAAGTGAAAAAAGGAAAACTGAATCATGGTGACTACTAAAACACTGCTCTCAGTTAGCAAGCAAGATGCTAAATCAGGACGTTTGATGGAAAAAAGGAAGTATTTATGTGTGTGTGTATACATGCAGGCATGCACACAAAGACACACATGCTCACTCACAGTCTAGTTCCAAAATGGCACGGACAGACTTGGCAAGGTCTCTGGCTTCTGCTGCAAGAGCTGTTGTGACAGTAGGTCCAGTCCTTCCCAACCGTGCGAGAAGTGCTTTAGCAGACAATGTTGACGTTCTGTCACTAAGTGAACAAAAATTACTATGTATTTGTAAGGTTCTAAAAGAAATGGTTACTTTTAATAAAGCAAAACTGTGTTTCTAGATCGGTTTTGATCTCATTGTATGAACAAAAAAAGATTCCCACTATCAAATTGACGAGCTCGCCTCAGAAGCGGCTCTGTCTGTACAATAAAGGTATTAGGAAAGTTCAATTCAAGCAACATTCATGACTCAAAATCCAGCATCAAGAACTAGTGGGTGTCACAAAGTAACTTGCTTAAAAGTGATTTTCATATTAACATTTAAGAAGGGACGCTGCTTTCGGGGACCCAATTGTTCTATGCTGTTAACCATACTTAAATTGATATCCATATATTCAATTTATATATGTGCTACTGGATTAAGGATGATGCAAAACCACTTGGACAAACCTAAAAATAAAATAAAATTATAACCCACTATTAAGGTTCCTTGCAATTTTAACTAATCCTTAACACATTATAATTACTTTATGGAAACATCCAGACAACCATAGCTATGTAATTACTAACTGCTTTAATTTAATGCTGAGGTTTTTAATGAAGCTGTATCCTGAAAGCCTCATTTATAATTCATGCCATTCCCTCTCTTCCAATAAGATGACACTCAGAAGCATACAGCAAAAAAGTAGAGAAAAAAATAGTTACAAGATGATTTTTAGAGAATTTGAAACAATGGTAGAGTTTTTCAACATGAATTTTGTCAGTTCAATATTAATAACTATGCCATTCCATTACCTTAAAGCTGTTGAGGGAGTAGAGTTATCTGACAGTACTTCATGCACGATCTGTTGGCCATAATCAAAAGTTAACAGTTTATAAACCAACACAGTTAAAAAGTTAATACCTTGTAATATGATGTTCTACTTGGGTGAGGGGGATTGGATTTGTAATTAAAGATTCTAGCCTCTTCCAGCTAGAAGGGTAAAAGTAAAAACCAAGATATTACAGCCACTTTAAATGAAGTGAATATAACAACATCACTCAGTTCCCATAACACTTCAAAATATTATCAAATATTACTTTTGCCTCTGGGAAACTTCAGAAATTGATGGGTTTGTGAGAATTTAGGTGAAAAAAAAATTACCTGATGCGTTTCATTTGTGTAGAAGAGCAAACCATAAAGATTAAGTAAATTCCTACATGGATCTGTACACTTACGTGCCACCTTTATTTGTAACAATAAAGAGATCTCTGCAAACTAGTTTTAGTCAGTTTATTATGTCCTTTCCTCAGAAACATCAACACAAAAGTTTTCCAAATAAAATACTTCAAGAAAGGAAAGGCAAAGTTACCTCCACAAACTGGAGTAATTTTTCAGTAGCCACCTCAAAGGTCTTCCTAGCCGATTCCGATTTCCGCAGCTGGCAGTCAAGCACTGTCACTCTCTTTCTCAAGTCTTGGATATTATCCTGGGAAAGATATTTTAAGGCTTTTATTCTAATCATTCTCTGCTGAGGCTCACAGAGATACATGGTGTGAATGGAAATGGATGTCTGAAATGTTTAACACACACTTTTCCATGTTCCTGACAAACACAGCTGCTCCTGAGGCAGGTGTACGTGATCTGCTAGTAAATCAGCTCCCACACTGCAACAGCTCTGGGCAAATGATACAAAGGTAAATTGAAATTGGCAGCTAACAGCAGTGACAGGGCTGCAACTTCAGTTTGAACTGATTCATGAATGGATCAAAAACACCAGCCTGATAATGGTGACAGTATCTGTCAGCAGGGTGGCGTAAATAGCCAGTATGTGAATAAACTCAGTCTGTTGGTTTGTATCTGTACATCCTTTGGGAAACTGAATAATTATGGCATCTCTTGGAGAAAATTACCCCCTAGTATTTCTCTACATGCACTTGTATAACCTATTGATCAGTGTTATGCATCTCTCTGTACTTAAGCTACAGAGAATGTGAGCCTCATTAGCTTAAGTTCTGGAGGCTCTAAGTTTCAGCTTGAGTTCCTAGCACTGTTTGTGCAACAGGACCACGAGTGAAGTCTTCACATGTATATGGGCATATTTGTTTAGCTAAGCTGGCTGCTGAACAGATCATTTACACCAAAATATTCTCCAAATTAAAGAAAATATCACTACCATTAAAAATAAACTTTAACATCCCTGTAGGTGATCTTGTCTGAAAGCCCACTATCTACTATAAAATCCTCATAAAAACCCCATTCATTATCTTTACTTGAAGCAAACGAGTAGACACATCTGTTTGTACGCACTATATAAAGCAGCAACATCATGATCACTCTGAATGTCAAAGAACCTGTGGATTAAAACACCCTTTTTTTTGCAATCTCACTGGCCACTATTGGAGAAGTGGCTGGCAAGCCCTCACATTGACCTTATTCTTTTATACCAAAAAGAGCATACCACAGAATTGACACTACCTAGAGTACACTACCTACTTGATACTGCTTCTTTTGAGTAAGAAGTGCAGAGAATCAAACCTCAACTCAGACATTCAAGTGCTCATTCAGAATTTCAGGAATTCAAGCTAGCATCTGAAAACCAAATCGCTGAGAAAACAACCCACATGCTCTGAATTTCTTCAAATTCTGGTATTTATTCAAGTCCTAGAAAACAAACAGTGCTTCGAAAATACCAGACATTAAAGATGGGGCATCTCACCCAGAAAGAAGAACTAGGGTGTGATTCATCTCATCACACACACTGAGGATTAGATGAGAGGAATTCCTCCCTGGAAGCTACAAGTACTCGCTATGTCACTTCTTGGCAAGCTTGTATATCACAGAGTTCAGTTTTAGCTTTCAATACTAATTCTCATGATGAAATAAGATGATGTTTCAGTAGGTTTTCTTCATCAATTCATACGCACACCCCCGTACCATGAAGAAACCAAGGTAAACACACAAACACCAACCTGTCTGCACTTGTTCAAACTGTGCGTAGAAAATGGATCTGCAATTATGAGGAAAAGTTTAGAAAGGCCTCAAACACTTTATTCCTTAGAGTGTTCTGAAATGCCTCAGTGGAGATGAAATGGTCTGAAAATATGAGGCTCAATTAAAAATGTTGTGGGTTGGGTTTGGTTTTGTTTCTGCAGGATACTGTTAGTAGCCTTAAATCATTATCTTGATTAAATCTAAATTTACTTCAGAAGACTACTGGATCTTACACTGTTATTTGCCTAACAAACATATACATGAAGGCCATTTTTATATAAATACAAAAGCATACAAGTATATGTATAGTCTTTAAAGATAATAAATCTGCAGCCTGGAAGCTATTCCATGCTTTAATGTTTGAGATGTGCCATTTTGACCCATGACCCACATATGCTTCCAACTCCTGTTTTTCCAACCCAAAGATATATGGATAAAGGAAGACGCAACACGCTCCACATTACCCCCTTCCCTATGCACCATTCCAGTTATTGAATAATACAAGACAAACAGTGACCTACTTTGGAAGAGCAGATGAAAAGAAAATGAAAACAAGATACATGACAACAGCAGGGAAACCATGGTAACTATGACCAGTGGCTGCTTTGCTTACTTTATTTTGGCCAGAATGATCTGTGAGCTGAGCCTTCAGCTCTACAATTTCAGCTTCCAACAGGTGAATAACTTCTTCATAGTCCATTTCCATTCCCCGAGCCTGCCTTTGTGCGGCTTCTGCAAGATGAATCCTACTTCGCAGGGCTCTTGTCTCTTCTACAGCTGCCTTGGCTTCCTGTAGGTGATGGAATTTAATTGAGAAGTTATAACTCCAGTTCACAAAGTAGTACAGATTTAGCTCAAAAGTGCTGCAGTTGGCATTAGGGCTACCTTTTAATATTTATGGTTAAATGGTTCAGTTGTTGATCTTTAAGTGTAGTATTTGCAAGCAAAGAATAGGTATTTACAGAGAGAGATGATTTTCCTAATAAATTAAATCACAAATTCTATGATTACTGCAAATCTAATTGAATGAAAGGTTTTATAGAAACACACCTGATGCTGTTAAGCTGCCCATCATTTCCATGCTAAAAAAGCATGAGATGTTACTTCATTTTATTATTATTGCCTGAATTCACACTCAATTCACAGTTCACACATCATGTAGGTGGAGTTCTAATGCAAATATTCAGTCCACACTATTCTCAAGTAAGTGTTGGTTTCTATTTCTCTGCCTAGTTCCTGCTCTTATAGCGTTATCCTGTATTATCACAGAAGAGTGTTAGATAAAAATGATATATAAATAATGTATGGAAAAATCAGGATATTAAAAACTGTTGGCTTGAATTCAGCTAAAGTAATCCCTGAATGTCATGAAATCTGATTTTGAGAAGGATATTGCTCAGTTCATTTTACTATTAATTCAAGTTAACTTTGTTTTGTAAATTTAGAAAGTCAAACTAAAGGTCTGGTGAACAGATGAGTTTACACTAGGAAACAGCAAACAAACTGCTCATCAAAAGTGCAGACGTAGAGGCGCACCGGCACCAAAACCCGTAAACCATCCTTCCCTCAGCTTTTGATGAATTTTCTGAATCATTAAAGTTATAAATTGAAATATACAAATTCACAGAGCTAGAAATTCTTCAAGTTCTTCAGGGAAGGATACTCAGGTGAATATTCTACTCCTAGTCTACCTATTGTAGACTTATTATCAAAGCTATATCCTGGTTGGGAACAGAACTAGTGAGAAATAGGCAGGGAGAAAAAAAGTAAACCCACTATGAATCCATAACAAGCAGGAAATAACCCTCTAGAAACTAGTGCTGAAATCACAGCTTCTGAAAACAACTGAATGACCAAATCTTCCTATTTTTGTGGCAAAAAAGTCATACAATGTTTAACAGGCGTCATAACTGTCTAGAGAGGTTAGTGAAGCTTACAAAAGCAGACTTAATTCTTTCCTAACTTAAAAGCATTTGTTCTGTGCAAGCAACATCCTTCAAGTCAGGTTTTCCTATACTTTGTCATAATGTAAAATGATCTACCAATCTCAGATTCTACAAGTTTTTAACCTGTACACTGTTAGTCTTAAATAATACATATTTCCTTCAAACTGTAAGTAAACTGATCTCAATGACATATATATAGGCCATCATCTTCCTAATATTTACGAGGGTTTTGCAATATAATACCTATTTGGATGATTGCCAGGGACATTCTGGTCTCTTAGAAAATTAAGCATAAAACAAGTCATCACACATGTAGCAAACAGCAACATCATGAGTGAATCCACGTCACATTGGTGTGATGTAGTTCAGAGGTTTCTGTTATAGGCACACAAGTGATAAGGGACATATTTAAATAACCTTTAATGTGACAGCAAGTATAATGACTTATGTTTTTCCTCTTTTTACTTTTGGAAGCACAAGGCATTAGATGAGCCTATTCTACATGATACGCACCTCCACCTGCAAACACAGACTGTTCAACAGTTTATCACTGCATGTCTGTCTGTTATCCAGGTTGTTAGAGAGCTGTCTGTCTGCACAGCACTAAAAGCAGCGCAAAAGGCTATCACTGAAATCATCCAATGAAAGACCACCAGAACAATCCAGCCCTCCTGCAAGCTGCTCATTGCTGTTCTTCCTCCTAGAAGCAATTCAGAGAATGCAGGGGCTTCGGAGAAGTGAAGGAATCTGTAAGGTAGAGGACAAAATCACTGCCCAGGTAGAGGGTGCCTTCTTGCTGCTGTAAGAGATGGTGTGACCCAGCAGCAAGAAAAGCTGGGCCCACTGATACAGAGGATGATGGGGTAGTGAAGGTATCCTTCAGCAATAGGCTGGAGGTGGGAAAAAGACTCGGAGACAAAAGTGAAAAGACGGTCTGATATTAAATTGGACTAATATAAATGAACATAGAGGCCTTGACAAAGGGTGGCATTTTAAAAATGCACACATAGGAATTACTTACATAAACTGGCATCAGAAAAGTCATGGGAAAATTGCTGTAATGAAAAGGGAGGTCTTAATTTTGAAACAAGACCTCCTTGAGAGAAAGGTTTAATCTCTTATAATCCAGAACTGCCTTCACTCCTCCATTGTTTTATTGGAAGCCCAATTGTTGAATATTAATTTCTCTGTAATAGCAGACTAAGTATGACCAGATTTCAACAGTGAAAGACCTAAAGGAATAATTAATGAACAATGGATTCTTCCATTACAATGAAACGATTATTCACACTACAACTGAACTAGCAAAATTTCCTGACAAACCAGAGCTGTTTGTAGAGCAGGGAGGCACAAAAAGAAACGATACCATCAGGCTTCCCCACCCTACAGTTACTGAAGCCGGCATGGTGGTGATCTTTCTTATACAGATGAGGGGCCCCCACCAGTGAAGAACAGATGGATAACAGCATGCTTCAGCAGCATCTTCTCTTGTCCTGTTCAACTGCTTGCATGAAAGAAGACGCAACTGAAATGGAATCTGCAGCTGCTAATATTTCATGTCTACAAATGCCTGATGGGACCATTTGTCCTAATCTGGTATGAAGCCACTACAACGAATAAGAAACTGCAGGCTGGATGACAGCAACTGAATCCTTACAGAATCAATTTCAAGGTACAGATTTCTTTGAAAGCCAGGTTCTATTTCTTTCTTGGATAAATTCAAGTTTATCAAAGTTACATTCCAGCCACCACAAACACTGGAACAAAGGTATTCTTTTAAACAACATGAAAAATTGTAGTTACAGTTGAATTATGTTTGTTCATTAACTTTACCAAAATTATAAGATGAAAACATTCTTTACAAAAACTTAAGAGTATCTTTATTATGTATTAAAATAAAAAAGCTAATGAAACAAAAATAAACCCAATACTTCTTTCAGGCATGGTGAAATAAATCTTACATTGCTTCTAAACCAGCAGCCATTCAAGTCCTGCTCTTCAAAGCACCTTTTTTCCTCTTAGAAAACATAAGCACATAACAGCAAATATCAGCCCTATGAAATACAAGTCCAGCAGTATGGGAGACCACAAACAGTATCCTACCTTTATAACCTCTCAGATTTATTATGTTCAGCTGAAGCGATTCAGTGACAATTAAGTGCACCAAAGCAGCTCTACTAAATAAGAGATCATTCAGGTTGGTATGACCCAGCATTTTCAGCCCCAGAGAATACAGTCAATCTTATCCCAGGAGATAAAAGACACCATTACAGATCTCACATTCACGGTGTTGACAAGACTTCAGATACTCAAAAGTGCCTTTCTATGCTTTGCGCCAATTTCAGCTTCCATATGATTTCAAGGAAGACCCAAAGATAGTGCAACATTACAATCTTAAAGTAAAAAGTATCAATTAATACATTTTAATTCTCACAGATCAACATTAGAAAATAATTACTACCTCGTTTCAAATGTAGCCCTATTTCCAAAGAGTTTGTTTATGCTGTCAGCTACTGATTCATGCACTGTTTAATGAACTGCTACTAACAAAACATGTTCATTAACCAGAATATTTGTATGCCTGTCCTAATTAAGATGTAATCTCAGCAATTCACAATTAGTTGACAATAGAAGAACCACACAAGATACTCCAAGATATGATGGGTAGCCTGTATCTTCACTTAAAACCTTGCTTTTTCAGGAAAGCAGTGATTTAAAAAGAAAAAAGTTAAAATTATATTGAATTCAGAAGACCTTATGCACATACTTGAGCCAGTTTGTAAGTTTGCTTTTAATCAGTCTCAAAAACATACCCATTATTTCATTTCACTTCAGCAGGAATGCATCATCATAAGGCAAATAGCCGCTTGTATTCCAAGCGGCCTCTTTGTACTCCAAGTAGCCTATACCACCATGAATCTCAGCGTCAGCACTGGTTCTGAACCACAGAAATATACGTAAAACACTTGAAAATGCACCATGTATAAACAGAACTAAAATTCCCACTAAAGGCATGCTTGTATCTCCTAAAATAGTGCTGTCATTACCTATAATTTACTATTTCTCTTTCATTTCCCTATGCGGAACCTTTTCAACAGCAGTCACTTAACATGCTTACTAGAAAATCAGAGGGCTGCGCTGCAAGCTGACCTACACCACCGCATGATGGTACTTGAGAGAAAAATTAAAGTTCGAGGACCTCATGTGGTAGAAAACTGGCATTGCTGCCACTTAGAGCATCCTAAACCACCTTTGTCCAAATCCACCTTTGCAGTAAGAGCAGGTCTGTGAAGTGAAACACTCGATGCTGAGGACCTGATATCCTCGCTGTCTACATTTTAGAGTCTGTACTTTGTACCAGCTTTAGTCTAGACTGGTAGACTGAACATCTGCTCTGGTTTAGAGCAACAGACTGAACACCCATTAGTGAATGGAAACAAGAGGTGAGCTACTGGCACATACTTCCAGTTCAATTTTATCCAAAAAAGAATCCATTTTATTTCCCTGCTGTCCCACGGTTTCGTGAGGCTACAGCAGAACACTCATGGAAAAAGCTTTCAAACAGTTCTTTTATAGTCAAGGTGATAATGAAGGTGCTGAAGAAATCTACATACATGAGCAAAAATGTAAACCTAATCTTAAGAACAGTACACAGATTTTTTAACCTCTATCTTGCACCTTTACATATGGCATCTGATGGAACAGACAGCCATGAGAAACCTGCAAGGAATACGTATAACAGTACAGGATAGCAGAAAGGCAGCCAGATCACAAGAAGAAAACAGCTGACAGAATGACAGTCAGTACAAGCAGGAAACAGGAAAGTTACTTGGTTTTGAATCCAGGCTACAAATTACATGGGATTTACATATAATTGGAAATTTCCTTAAAGAGACACAAGAAGGCTAAATTTCATACGAAACTCTGATTTCTTCTCTCATGGATAGGTATGGAGACGTAAACAAGGCATTCTTCACAAAACACTACCATTTTTTTCCTGGTACGTATCAGGTAGAATTGTCAAGTGTCTATATTTTCATACTTAAAACTCTGGCTGACATATGAAGTAGTTAACGTTTGGTCTGTAGAACAGGCACACTGTTGCCTAAGAACAGGAAAATCACTTCAAGAACACCTAAGACCAGACAGGTACATTATTACCCAACTTACCTGATCCAGCTTATCTTACAGTTTTCAGCCTCAATTCAACAGTAGAGAATTACTGCTCTAAAAACTTAAGGATCAGTATTCTCCAATTCTAATCAAAAGCTCTGTAGTTACAAAAGAACCACTTTGTGTTGAAGTCACTGGGGAAGTATAGTCTATATGAGATTCAAGAAAGAAATGCTTCCTTCTCCCACAAATAACAGTAAAAAAAGGAGAATATTTTCTGTTTAAAGAAACTTCAACATACTTGCTTGACGATCTGTAGCTGCTCTGTTAACTGTTTCTCTAAATTCATGGATTCAGATAATTTTTCCTGTTAAAAAAAGAAATTAATAATCAGGTCTGAAATCAGAGAGTTTTTATTCCTAAAACCCAATTAGCTTTTTCACAACTACAGTTAGCAACACTTCAGTTCTATCAATATGTTTCTGTGGCCACTGTGTTTCTAGGCCACAATATAAGTCTGTTATTAATGTTGCATCATCAGAAACACACCTATCCAAAATGTTCTGATGGAAATAATAATCAACAGCATTTACAGAACCTGTGACAAAGCCAAATCTTAATCTAAAAGGCAGTTTTTCAAAGGGTTCATTGATAACTGTTCAAATTTCTTGGGCATTTGAGGATTACTCACTGAACATTCCTGTGAGACAAGTAAAACACACATTTAATTCTGCATCAGGACTTCTTATGTTTCTGGTTGTGAAAAAAGAAATTCAGGAGCATAGCACAACGGGTGTAGCCCAAGTTATTAAGAAACAACAAATGTATTTGTGGCTTTGGGTCTTAGGCATTTTGTAATGTCTGTGAAAATAGGTATTAATTTTGAAAACAGATTAATCTATCCTCCAGTTCTGACTTCTTCCAGAAGTATCAGCAGATGCCAGGGAACTGCAGTTCCCAGGATCACACGTTTCTAAATAAAATTGCTATGCAAATCACTTCTCTAAATTCACTTTTGTTAAAAGTCTGCTTAGACTCATTTCTCTGTGAATCAGATAAAAAATGCCCTAGTATTCAACATAACAAATCAAATTCACCGCCTCCAGAAACATATTGTAAGCAAACAACCTTCAAACATTAGGGCTGTTTGCTTTGCTTTTTTATGTATTCATCAAAAATAGCACATAAAATTCAAAAGAAAAATAGTAAATTACTATATACACTCAAAAAGAAATTAGCCTCTTGAGTAACTCAAAGCAAAGGGAAAGTAAGATTACCTTTAATTTACTCATTTCTTTTAAAGCATCATTTCTCTCTTTCTTAAGTCTTTCCACATCATCTTCCAAAGAATCAGAGGTTACAATCTGTGCATATTTAAATACTAAAGGTTAGAACATGTTTTTAACTGCATCTTCCATAACATCTTCTCTTACAAGGTCGTTAGTAAAATAAGAGGAAAATTTTATTTTTACAATAATTTAAAGCTCTGAAAATACTAAAAATGTTTAAGAAAATTCTGCCCAACTTGCCTTCCAAAACAATAAATACTTTTCCTGTTAAAAAGGATTAATAATATGTTTTTAAAGTATCAAGATTATACCATTTACAGCTCCTGTTTTCTTCAGTATTTTAATAATACATGATTTTATTTTACTATTCCTACACTGAAAATGCTCTTTCTTAAAGTCAACCCTAGAAGAAAGCGATTTTTACTACAGCAGTTGTGGAAATCACTCGACCCAATAACTGTTTATCACTCACACAGGTAGTTGCAATACGTATTCCATTAAGAAACCTCAGTAAATCACTGCTGTCCATACTTACAGCAAATTACAACGTAATCATGTGAATTGCTTTCTGCAAAGTAGGTTGCTTTAAAAAGCTTCACAGGAACTAGGTTATCTTAAAGAACATTGCAATATGGAGCTGTTCTAAATATCTGTCCATGATTTGGAGTAATCTTATATGTAAGAAACTCCAATAGTCTCCTCCCAAAACTAAACACTGTGCAGGCACGCATTTTACCTGTGAATCCAGGAAGCTGGTAATTTCATTGACTCCAGGTGTTGGAGATTTTTGGCCATCATCTGTTGCATTCAATTGCATAGAGCACAGATTCTTTGAAACTTCAATGAAATCTAAAAAACGGGTTAGATTTTGTTGCTGTATTTCACAAGTCGAGTTTTGCAGCAGTATCGCTAAATACAACACACTAAAACCACAATGTAAGGCTACTCTTTTATAAATGCAGCGTCTGCCCTCCATTAGATTTCTATAGGAAAACATGACAATCAGACAGAGCCCTCTGAACAGAAACATTTGGTAATGAATCAGAATATTCAACAAAGACCTTGGGATAAAATATCCCTGAGTCAAGGTGTGAAGGAGAAAACAAAAGGTGGTGTGAAGTTCACATTCCAGTGTCTTTCTTGATACCTGATTTGAAAATCCAGTGTCTTTTTGGGTGGTTAAGTACAGAAGTTATCTTTATATACTAGTGTTTGATGCTGTTTTTCTTAAACTTTAGGAAAAGTGAAATTTCCATCAGTTTTAGCATCAGAACTATCATGTCTCACAGTTTATAAGAAATATTCTTAAATTGTTAGTGTCACCTACCAAAATTGTCATAACCAACAGAAGCGACTCGTTCCCACCAGAATTAGACTTAACTAGAAGAAAAATAATGATGGTCTGCCTTTCTATATGCAATAGTTGAAATGTTCTTGCCTCTCACAAACTAAAGAAGTTAAAGAGCTGTCAGTGTAGTTCCTTCAAGAAGTCCCTTTAATCATGAATACTATCCCAGGTGATTTTTGGAACAATTAACCTATTGTCAAGGCAAAAATGTAGGAATCTGTGAGCACTAATCCCAAGTTTCTCAAGGCTGCTCTTATCAGACAAATTCGTGATTTCCTTCCCCATTACTTAGTTTCAGAATTCCAAGCTTATTTTCATACAGGAGAATAAAAAAAAGCCTCAAAGTATCATTTTAGTTGCAGTAGCAACCCAACACTGACACAGAAGATATTAACGGTTATTATCTATCATCATTTCTATATTCCCACATCTCATTTTTTTCCATGGTAATTAACAAATTATTACCTCCAAAAGACACTGTTCCTTTAGAGTCTTTCTGAAGTTGCTGCCTGAGGGCTTGCTGCTGTTCATCTGTGGGCTGAATCCCAAGATAATTCAACGCCTGGAAGGAGAAAACTTAATTTGGAGGAAAAAAAAGAGAGGACTGGGGATAATGACTGCAGGGACAAGGGGGAGTAATTAAAGAGCTATACTTCAAAGAGCCTTTGTTTCATAGTACACTCTCACTGACAACACTTTTATTCCAGAGACACTCTGTGACTTTTCCTTCTAATTGAGAGATGTTCAGATATTATTTAACCTTGAATACGGATGAGTGTAATAAGCAAACCCCTTTGTCCTTAATAACTGCCTTAAAAATCCTGAGGGATATTCAGATTCCCGGAAGAGTTTCAGTAATTAGATTAACAAAAACAGCAATTTGCCCAATACATAAAATGAGACATCAGTCTGCAACCTAAAAAAACTATTCAAACAGAAAATTTGGTGTATAATTCATACCTTAAACCTTGTCAGCCTAGAAATACGCTCCAGATGTTTTACATGGATCATGAAGGGATAGAAAGGACAACTCAAGAGATTACAAGTATTTACCCTTTCCAGCTTTTCTGCTTTGAGACGAACAGTGGAGTTCCTTCCTTGCAGCTCATAATCATCATTCTGGCTGGGAGCAGTAACTAAGCAGAAAATAATGAACATTAAATAATGATATAGTTGTAACTCTTCCTTTGAAAGATTTGTTCTGAAGATCTGCTTATCAAAAGGATGGCAGCTAAATGCCCATTTGCCACAAATAAATGTTAATATTTAGATTGACTTTTTTCTTAAAGGACATAATTGTAACAAACAAAAAATTTTGAGTATCAATCACTTAAAACTAGTTTTCCCCATCAAAAAGTGACAAGCTGCAAATTAGCAGAAAGAAACCAGAATAACTTTGATTGATCCATCAAGCATATGGCTTACACTTGTGGTATTTTCTCTCAGAGATACACAGTTACTCTGGAAACAGAAGGGGAAACACACTTGTGAATTCTGAGAAAGACCTTCAAGACACACCCTTGGCACAATCAACAGTTCCCAAAAGCGGATCTAGTGATCTGGAAAACACTGTGGAAAGAGAGGGAATGACCTGTTGCCAACTAAGGGCTGTAGCTTAGACTGAATTCCAGTATTTTTTTCCTGGGAAGGAACTCTTTTTACAAGAACTATCATTCATTAAGCCATCATCCATCATCCCCCTCTTCTCTGGTCCTTACAGACTGCATAGTTTTAGCTAGTTGCATTAACAACTCATGCTGCATCTATTTTATTTCCAACATACCCAAATGATTAAGCTGAGGAAAGGAACAGAAGTTAGCAGCACCAAGCAGTTCATGTGCAAGATTTCAGAGTAATGGACTTCTTTGTGTGTGTGCGTGTGTGTGTGCCACAGACTGGTCATGTTTCAAACACACCTATGGATACAACATGAGAAGCAGCACGCTTTGAAATCTTCTGATCACAGACAGCAGGCAAAAGGAGCAGTTAACTATCAATTCCCTCAGATTTTAAATGTGTGGCAATAGAACAAGTTCACTGACTTGTTTTTTTTTTTCAGAAGAAAATGGAATACTCATTTTCATTCATTATTTATAAATATAATGTGTGTCTTAATTATTTCGTTAATGAACTAGAGTGGTACTGAAAACAAAACCAGCATTTGAGAGAACTAAAGGCTCTTGCAGGTTGAGATGCTCTCTAAAGGAACAGAAGGAATCTCATAGAATTTTTTTCCCACTTTCACAGCTATCTGTTTCCAAGCTCAAAGTGATTTACATTCTCCTTCTTTGCCAAAAGCATAAACCAAAACATCTTGAAAATCTCTGACACTAACACCTCTCACATGCTATATTAAATTCTGAAGACAGTGGGCTAGAACCTCAGCTGAATTGGCACACGTCCTTTCAGCTCAGAATGAAACAGCCTTGTGTATGAGTTTGGGCAAGAATTTCTCAAAACTATGCTGATTTTTCTTACAGCACTAAGAAAAAAAATCATCTAAGAGCTACTTTGAGTTTTCAAGGTTATCTTTGAGAGTTTATCCTTGAAAAAGGGCAGCAGGAGAGAGCACATAAGGATGTGCTGTTCGGTAAGACTAAAACTTAAAATGACAAGAAACAGTACAAACAGGAGCTGCAGTACTTCTGCTTTCCACTCTACCAGCTAAGCTCTTCAGATGTGTTAAAGAACTGTGGCCTTCTTGGTCTTTTTAAGCAGCAATGATGCTCCTGTGTATTGCATTATATGAACCCAGAGACTCATATTCTGATTAAAAAAATAGCCCTTTGTCTTGTTGCTCTGATTTAGTTTGTCATGATCAATGTGAAATAAATGTGTGATCATTAAACTCCAGGTGGATTCTACACTACGACTTTTCAGTTTTAAAAGTTCACATTCTGTCAGTTCACCCTCCAAGGAAGGAAGCCAACTGCTCAGATGTGCGATATGGAGACTGCTTCATTTTAAATTAGAATATCTAATACGTGACATGATAAATACAGGTACAATTTAAATAACATCTAGAATCAATCAGATCCTGTATGTTTGTCCTTCCTTTTCTCTGTATGATAAATACAGGTTATGCTTACACACTACTGCCTGAAGCTAAAGAATATAGTTCAGGTATTCATATAGAAATACAGAACAAAATCAGGTCTATTATGGTATGAATTGAGATTCATTATTATATCAGAGGACTGAATTTTCACTGCGTGTAAATACAACACATATTTGTTTCCCAAAGGAATTACAATTGTTCAGTGGTGTTGGGTTTTTTAACCTATATAATAAAAGTGACTATTGTCTTTGTTTAAATGTCATGACTCTTAAATACACACATATGCATTCTACTTGTTATTAATCGAAGAACTGTTACAGAGGCCTGCATGTTATTATCCTTCCAGTATGCTGCCCTGATCAAAAAAGAAGAGCACAAGCAGTATACATCCCCAGAATCTCATCAGATCAAGAAAGCACAGTTTCTATGGCAACCTAATCTTGATCTATATGTGAGTCTTCATTATCTGGTTTCTACTGAGTATATTATCATTACTGCTGTATAGCAAACGTTGTGATCGCTCATTTGGTTTCAGCTGTTTGTTAAAGACAATGGAAGTTGAATTTGACAGAAGCTGCTAAACAATCCATTGATCTCAGTCCTTTATTTAGTACTATAAACCCAGTGCAATATTCCTTTTTTAAAGACTACTGAGTCTCACTCTGTACTATTTTCTCTATGGCAGTTACTGAAGGAAAAATGGGTGGCAGGGAATTAAATCAGCCTTTACCAGTGGCAGACACATCAGTAGGATTGCTGTCTAGAGAAGTAATTGGAGACTGCTCTCCTGTCATGACTCCAGTCTGGATCTGTAAAAGAAAAGCAAAAATCACATAATACCATTTCTAAAGCAGATCACAAGCTGAACTAGAAATACACATTAATGTAAATGAGAGGGAGAGGAAGGAAGACTCGGCGAGAAATAGGGCTGGATAGATCAAAACAGCCCTAGGAGAAAATGGAACGCATAGGCAGGTTGGGAGGTGAGAAGGAATGCTGTTCAATAAAGTTAGATCAGGACCTTATCAAAAGCTGAGTTTGGTTTTGAATATCTTCACAGCTTATGAGAGCACAGTCTCTCTAGGCAACCTGTTTCCGTATCTCAAACAGGAAAGAAAAATGGGCAAGAATTTAAAGTACAAATGTAAGAACAACTGAGGATGACCTGCTCTGACCTTATGTTTGACATGAGGCATTTATTCTTTCTTGTTCAAAGACAATAGTTTAAAAAAATACAAAAAATGAATTATTTTTTTTTAAATTGAAATAATAGTTTTTAAACCTTCTTTCTTATGGTCAACATTATTTCTTTACACTAACAGTGTATGAGCTCTATGAATTAAAACACCTGCTGCTTAGCCGAAAGAAAGGGAATAAACCAGAACTCTGAATTTAAGTAAAAAAAGAATCACAGAGGAAGTGTAACTTGTGAGCTCATGTTGTACTCACATATGTGAAGTGATCAGAGAGTACTTTACCTCCGAAATATATAACAATACGTACACCTAATTCTGAAACTTTACTCCTCCAAAGTGAGGAGAACTTTGTACCTAAGAACACAGTTGATGCTTATTTTATTTGATTTGTTTTCTTACCACAAGTCAAGTCATACTCTTAATCCTCTCATCAGTGTGTTTTACTCTACTGTTACACAACATGTTTTCTGGAAAAGTCTTGATGACTGCCAGGAAAAAGAGCCAGTCATTCTTTTACTGGATGGAAACTGAGTTAAAACAACCCTATACTGAAATTCCAGTGAAATTAGGAAAAAACAACCATTTGCTCACTTTATACTAAGAGGAGTAGTACGTATACTCACCACATTTGGAATGAATGTGGAAACAAGCTTCCCATTAGGAGATGCAAGAGAACTAAGTAGTGCAGCCTGTTGGTCTCCATATGCTATAGAAGATGTTAAGAGGCTGGAAGGACGCTGCAGACTCTCTGAATAACTGGGAATATTTTTTTGCCTAATAAAAGCTATCTCCCAAAAACTTTCAGACCTAAAATTAAAATCAAGAAAGTTTCAGCACATTGTTGCTATCCTAATAATAATAATCCTAATGTAGGATTCTACATTACTCTTGCAAAAACCACGTTTTCCCAAGCACCATGTATGCTTTAACTATTTTTCTAAAAGGATGTTTTATTCCTCATCATTAAAAAGGCAAATACTGTGGCTTTGGGTTTTTTCTTTTGAAAGGAATTAATTGTGTACAGTTCTGGTGTCCTCAACATAAAAAGGACATGGAACGGTTGGAACAAGTCCAGAGAAGGGCCACGAGGATGATCAGGAGCACCTCCTGTAGGAAGACAGGCTGATAAAGTTGTGGCTGTTCAGCCTGGAGAAGAGAAGGCTGCGTGGAGATCTCATAGCAGCCTTCCAGTATCTGAAGGGGGCCTACAGGGATGCTGGGGAGGGACTCTTTATTAGGGACTGTAGTGATAGGACAAGGGGTAACGGGTTAAAACTTAAACAGGGGAAGTTTAGATTGGATATAAGGAAGAAGTTCTTTACTGTAAGGGTGGTGAGGCACTGGAATAGGGTGCCCAGGGAGGCTGTGAATGCTCCATCCCTGGCAGTGTTCAAGGCCAGGCTGGACAGAGCCTTGGGTGACATGGTTTAGTGTGAGGTGTCCCTGCCCATGGCAGGGGGGATTGGAACTTGATGATCTTAAGTTCCTTTCCAACCCTAACTATTCTATGATTCTATGAAAGCGTCATAATAGCACCGGTCTAAAAGACACATTTCTGTCTTTTTCTAGGAAATAATATTGCAATTGAATAGCTTAAAAGAATTAATATCCCTTCCATTACCTCCAATGAGAAGATATTTCCCATTAATCTGACCATAAATGTCAAACAATAACCATTTTGGTGAGCTGATTTAGAGGGTTACCAGATACCTCATCTTTGTTCTGTTGATTATACTTTTTGCCTCTTCATAGGAGACACCAATCATTGACTCTTTGTTTATAGATACCAGTTGATCTCCTGGCTTCAATCGTCCATCCTAACATAACAAATAAAAAAGAAAACCCACAACATTTCTATTAACTGCTAACACTCTAAAAAGAACTGTATAATCATAGCAGTTTACCTTATTCCTTTGGATCGGTTAAGAAAATAACTAGCAAGAACAGCTATATGTTTTGCCTGCCAATCTTCCAGAAATAAACAGATCAAATGATCATCTAATCACCATGATAGCAGTCATTAGAAAAGTTCATCAGACAGAATGGATCTCAGGTAGTGTGTAAAGAAGAAATTTGGATCCAGACGCATGTTTCTGTTAAACAAACCAACCACAGGTAGTAATTTTTCCAGCAAGGAGTACCAACCCATCTGACTACAGGAAGGTTCTTTCCTAATTCATTCAGTTGTGACCTGGATTAATTTGTATTTCAAAACCAAATGTTCTTGGCTAAATACGGGACTCTTCAGGCACTTACTAGCCATATTCATCTTGATGAGAAAACAGATTATTCTATTAGAAATTTACCAGTCAAAAATGCAACAGAAATAATATTGACTTTGTGTTTCCGTTGAATTCATTGCAAACATCTCACAACACAGTAACATATCACATTCCGCTCTTGGAGACTGTAAGACAAGACTTCAAGCACGTGAGGCTAGATATCTCACTATGATAAAGCCTTCTTTACTCACATTTTAAAAGAAGCATCAATAACTTCACTGAAAATTCATGTAATTCACCTACGGTTAGAGTTAGTTGGGACATTTGTCTAATACACATCAAATTACAAATAACATGTCTGTGTTCTTCAGCTCCTAACAAATTGACCACAGAATCAATCTGACCATATGATACAAACTGCTCACAGATAAAACACCCTTCCAAAACCAATATAATTTTATAAATTTAATACCCACATAGCATGATTTTAGCTGTGTTATTTCAAACCTATGGTAGCACTTTACTACTCTTTTTTTGTCACTGTTTTGGTTTTGATGAAAGAAAATGTAGATCTTCTCTTTCACTTGCCTCCAGCCTATTCAAATATATCCATTTCAATGCTGCCCTCATGTGGCACACATTTAAAATATGCCTGCTACTTGGGTTTCTCAAACAGGATAACCTGGATTGGGAAATTACCTCTACTCCTGCTAATATCAGAACCTACTGCAAATTCATGTCTCAGTCAGATTATGTGTGATAGGCTTTAAATTACATGTTTACAACGAGAAAAAATGTTCTGGAAACCCTAATGAAATAGGAGAAAAGAAGAATGATCACCATTTATCTACTAAAAGTCTGAAGAAACTGCATTTTTTCCTTCCATTTTGGCATTTTAGGATTAATCTTCATCTACACAAATGCAGTCACAAATAGTTATAGACTTTTAGGGCAAAACTCATTGCCTCTGAAATTAACTCGCACCTTCTTGCTTGGCAAGAGGCAAAAACTGGTTATCTACACATCAAATAACCGTAATAACTCAGGATGCAAAAGGAGATGCTTGGGTAAACATTTGTATGTACTTGAAACAAACAACCATTTGTTCATCAAAACTGACAAGCCCTCTTGATTTACATATTGCATTTGTCATATATGAAAAGTAACCAGGACTGATTCATACATTTTATTAGTCTGTCCTATTTTTCCTCCTGCTTTGCCTACACAAAGCTTTCAAACTGCAAGGATCCAGCTAAATGAAGTCTAAGGGAAAAGTGATTTTTTGAATACCAAAAACCAAGAGAAGAAATGCAATCTGTAGCTTTGCCCCATCCTTGCTGATTTACTTTGCATCATGCAACCTCTTATAGAAGTTGGTTTCTACTTTCTCATATGTAAACTGGGGAATAAGATCCTCGTTTACCCCAAATGAACTCATGAATAATTGTCATGGCCGTGTAACCATGATACAGTGCAATGAGATAACTCTGTTTAAAGAGAAAGCAAAGAGCAACATAAATTTTGTATTTAAAATATATCTGCATACATAAAACCCACTGAAGTTGGTACTAAATGAAGGCAAAAATAGAGGTGACTGAAGGGGAGGGAGTGAAAAAAGGCCTTTACCTTGTGACAATCACCACCAGGGATAACTTCTTGAATATATACCAAAGGTCCTTCATTTCTGTTAATTCCTCCTACAATATTCAAACCTAGGCTTGTTCCTTTGCAAACAGAGATCATTTGAAATGCACTATCGCTACAAAGAGAAAGAAAAGTAGAATTACTTCACAGAACCACATACTCAATAGAGACTCAAGTGATGCAGTATCTTTATCTTACTGATTTCACAAATACGTATTACAGCAACTAATACAAACAGTGGACATGATCTCCATGTTCAAACATTGCTCTGCCTCTTTACTACAAAATCAACAGCCACAATTCTGGCAATTACAGAAAGAATTAATAGGTTATTTTACAAGGCTAAAAGCTCCTCTCTACTGTATGTATCTACTGTATATATCCAAGGCTTGTGGGACTACCTGGGTGCACACACACCAGAAGAATCAATTCATTAGAAGTCAAAAGTCAACCTGATTAATCTATTTCTAAAGCAATAAATAAATGAGAATAATAACTTATGAAAAGTGAAATTTGCAGTATCAATGGTATTGCAAATTATAGGAGTTAAGAAATGAATCAACACAACTGAATACTTAGTGCTCAACCCAAACGTTTCCTGACCAACCAAATACAACATTTTCTACAGTTCATACAAGAGTTAGGTTTGGAGATTACTTTGCAAGCTTTGGGAATGGTGCTGGGCCATAATTATTTCTGCTGCTGGTCGTGACATTATCCTTCGGATGCAGCTGAGGGCTCTGTGACCTTGAGGATGACCCAGAAGAAGGGCTGTCATTAGATTTTGCTTAAAAAAAAGAAGAAATAATGAAAAAAGAAATTAAAGCACACATTAGGAAAAAAGAACACAATTTCAACTCACAGAAGGAAGCTCAGTAGGACTATTTTTATATTAGGAAACACAAACTGTAAGCAATCTGACAACCAAGAGACAGATTAAGTCTAAACAGCGTAAGAATTGTGAATCACCCAGGCTTACCTCTTCAGAACATAGCACCTGATGGGTTTTTCAAACTGGGTGCAAAAGCCATTAAATAGATTTGAACTGACTTCCCTAAAGAACAATCATAGAATCATAGAATAATACAATAGTTAGGGTTGGAAAGGACCTTAAGATCATCTAGTTCCAACCCCCCTGCCATGGGCAGGGACACCTTACGCTAAATCAATTATGCTACACATATATATTGATATGTTGAAACTCAGGCTATATAAAGGCATCCTAATTAGGCAACAATTCCACAAGGATTAGAATTCATGGTATTGTAGCTCAAATTTTTATTAGTACTTTGAAATGTGCAAACACCAAATACTTTTCATGCTGCTCATTAATTAAACTTGCTGAAAGTAGGCAGTACTGTATTTATTTTAAGAGTCGAGCAAACTGACACTGAAACCCCACAAGGTGCATGCTTAGAGTACAAACTGAATATTAATGGCTAAATAAACGTGTGTGTTTTGCCTGATTTGCAGTCACTTCCTTCAATATATCCTCCCCCCCGAGATGAAAAGAGTTTTAAGCGCAGGTTTCTACTCCAGCGAAGCAGGACCACTGTCCTACAGGATTACGTCAGGTTGGGAAGCAATCGCTCACCAGATAATGGTTGGGTTGGAGAACTTCTGGCTGAGTTGATGTCACTGTGAGAGCCGTACTTATCCATCAGGTCATGAAATTCCTTCCTGTGGCAATAAAACGATACTCTGCAGGTTTAAATGCACCCTTTGAAACCTCCTACTGTTTCTACTGGACAGTTTCCCTTCCTCAGAGAAGGCAGCTCAACCTCAACTGAAAGAAGAAAGCCCTATCGAGTATTCAGAAGGGGCAAGGAAAAGTTGCTGTGATACAGAAGGCTAAGGGTGGAATAGCAGCCGACTGTGAATGAAATGGACTATTGGTAGAAAAGCTTAATTATTACCCCCGATTTCAAAACTTTTAAAACTTCTAGTTCAAGTCAACAACAGATAATAGGACAGTGATATACTTAGGTCCAAACCAAGTTATTACTATTAGAAGCCATCACATAATATACCTATAGCATATGAATATGCTTAAAGAATGCTTTTAGTTTAACTACACTAAACAGGAACCCAGCAGAGGCTGGCAAACAGAGATGTAGCACCTCAAAAAAAAGACAGAAAATATACATTCATTGGTTATTCAAGAATGAGTAAAACGGATGCAAATTTTTAACTTCTCTTTAGCTTTCTCAGGAATACACAGTCTGAGGTAGATCTCATTACATATTAAATACTGTGTGCGCCTGGGCTTTGCTTATCTTTTTCATTATGAAACCTGTTTTTACATCCCTAACTGATGAAATAAAGGGAAATTCTTGGTTAGAGGCACTGTGGAAAAAACAGTGATAAAGAACAAAAGGAGAAGTTCTTTGCTGAAACCAATCCTATTGTAAGAAATGCGCAGGACAAGATGTGCATCCCGTACCACATGTATTGAAGAGAAAACAAACCCTCTTGGTTAATCTGGGTGCAGCTTAATTTAGAGAAGTTTATAATCTGAGCTATGGTTACCCCAGTGATAAGAGATTATTAAAAAAAAGAGATAATAAAGAATGATGGGAGCCAGAAACATCAGCAAATTAATACCGTAGAATTAAAGAGAGAACATAAATTAACTGATTGCTGGGAACATAATTCCCAAGTAATTCCAGTGACTGCAGAGGGCTGCTCGTATCTGCTGGATGCATTAAAGACAAAATTTATTAAACTAATGCCAGAGGCAGGGAGCCGCCATAAACGCAGCTGAGTGTAAATCAAACAAGCTTTTAGCACAGGATTTACAGTCACAAGGAATTAATCCACAGGTGCCTGAGTGAGGACTGAGCGCAGTGACATCTTCTGCACAGGCCATTGGGCACACACCAGAACAGGAAAAGGACTGAGAGATTTGAATTATTCAAGGACTTTGGAGGAACTAGGTCAGTATGCTTGAGATAAAAGCAGATTAAGAGTGGACCTCACATATATCTAGGCAGTCTGAAAAAATAAGGAGAGGTCAGAGGTTACAGAGGGATTTAAATGTCTGGCAAATACAAAATATACAAGCGCAGGAAGAGGAAGCTTAAATTGGGCAAAAGGCTAAAGGAATTTAGAGAAAATTCCTTTATGAAGAGATTAGTCTGTAAATGGAACATCCCAGGAAAGGCAAATAACAGCAGGTACTCTTGCAATGATTATCAAATATGGTTACATAACAGCCATCTCCTCCGGAGATTTGAGGGGATAGAGACCTGGATCCTGCCATTTCTGACGATTTGCTGCCAATATTGCTTTATGTGCTTAACTTTAAAGGGCAAGATTAAAGCAATATTTAACACAAATGTCCTTACAATGGATGTATTTTCGACTACCTACTGCACTGAGCAGTTTAACCTACTTACCCGAGCTAATTCAAAGGCTCATGAAAGACTAAAAAGTAAACTTCTGGGGTGAAACAACGTCTAAATCCGTCTTTTTTCAGGAGGCAAGACCAGCTTAAACCACGCAGTCTTGTGGCACTGCAGGTCTAATGGGTTCCTCGATTCTTTGTGAGAAGTATAAAATAAAATTATCACAGCAAATGATTTTTAATGGCATTAGCTGGTAACATAACATTTCAATCCTCTTCATTAAGCTGAAATTGGCCTGAGCTTGCTACTTTAATTGATGCAAATGGTCTCAGAATGAATTGGTATCAAATCCTAACACAGAAAAATGGGACATGTGGTGTGATTTTGTGATTAAACTAATCTGAAAGAAAAACACATGCAAGCCCACCCCCCCAACCTTAAATGTAGCTCTGGCTTTTAATTAGCTCTGAGGTTAAAGCAATGGTTTATCTTTTCTTACTTTGCTTCTTCATCTCTAGCAACCAGCAGAGACATGTGGTTAGACGCTGATGCTGTTCGCAAGATGTCAACAGCCCTAAAAGGGGGGAAAAAGCCAAATAAATAAAGCAGGGTGCTGGCAAGAAGTCCAGGTGAGTAATGCTAAAAGAGCAGGAGAATGGACAAACTGTTAGTGCAGTTATCATTTTCACTGCCAGAAACAGAGAGAAATGCTTGCCAGCAGCACAACCCAAATGAAGCATTGGAGAACTGTGGTGAGTCTGTGCCAGGAATAAACTGGGATTGCCCTCTCTTCCCCTTCCCTTTTGTTCTCATCTGTCCTTGGTCCATCCTGCTGCCTTCCTGGAATTCCTTCTGGATTAACAGCCTGCACCAGAGGAGAACATCTGCTCAGGTACTGCCCTAAGCAATAGTTACTGGAATTTCTCTCTGAATTTTTTACCTATGTCTTCAGCTAAGCTGTGCTGATCCCTGGTGATCCAGCTACAGAAACCATCCAACACGTTCTACAGGTTTTCCTGAACAGTTTCTCCTTCATTACTAACAATGATACTTGTTGGCTGCCTCATTCACATTCACCAGCACTGAACCAACAGATAGTTATACAAATATTTTAACAACTTAATGTATTTTAATGTTATTTTCACATACATTCTGTAATCTATGTCATTAAGAAACTATCTTATTCTGTCATTATAAAAGCTTATAAAACAAATCCAAGGTAGTTTCGCTGAATTAGATTTATAGGATAAATTAATTGCTAGTTGAACCCCAAGGAACTCGGTGTGCTCTATGAAATCAGTGCTCAATTATGGCCAAAAAAATCCACATATAATATTCCAAGATCCAATAAACATTTAGGAATCGGAATAAACATACCTTTCATTGGTTACTCCAATTAAGTTTTCTCCATTGACATCCAAAATCAGGTCGCCAGTGAGCAAACGGCCTTGTAAAGAAATCAACAGTAATGCATGAATCAATAGGAAAACGGTAAACATATTATATCACAGTAATAAAACAGGGACTTTCCTTTCAATTTTATGTGACCTAATGCAATAAACAACGTCACATTTACTGTACAATGTACAACCTTATTACTTGTAGCAGATCAGGTTCAGATCCTAATTAATCTAGGTTACTGTGATAAGACTAGTAACTATCAATCATTTGTACTAATCACAGCATAGTCACTGAAAATAAATGTTATTTAGCTCTTTGTATTATTTACACTTGTGGGACTAGAATTTACATTTCACTGCTTAACACAGATGTAAGCACATATGAATGCATTAACATTTTATACATCCATAAAGATACCTACAAGATGTTTTTAGAACCAATTTTATTTGTAACCACCTGTAAATCTCAAGCTCAGGAACATCCACTTTTGAAGTAGATATAGATTATTTTAAATGATCATTGTGCACAAGGCCAGCTGGAATCTCAAAACCCCCATATACAGACCTATGACAGAAGTACAGTCTGTACTAACAACTTTATTACTGCAAACTCTGCCTAGTATAATTTCTTCTGAACATCTTAACCGCCATTAAAAAAATAAATAGCCAGAACTTATTAAAAATCACTAGCTTTATAAAGGAAACACTACTCTTATACTTTAGGAATTAAAAGGCCAGAATCTCAGTGCTCATTTAGCAGTGCTGACATTGCCAATTGCTTTCACACCAGCCAACTCGAGATCTCAACACGTTTTCAAGAACTGACAGTATTAAAATCTTCTCCCATGAAGGGTCCAAATTTTGTTTCTCCATTTTAAAGTAAGCCAAAGCATCGTGAACTCTGACTAAATCCTACTTTAAATACCATTATCCACGAAGTAAAACAAAGATGACTTCTTCTGACAGCTTTTCATATCCCTTATAATATATATAATAAAACCTTTAAAATTACTTACTGTCTACAGCAGCAACTCCTCCAGGTAGAATTCTCTTTATGAAAATCCCATAATCTTCTGCTGTTTGTGCCCGATAACCTCCAATAATTTTAACTCCTGCAGAAGAAACAAATGAAACAAGCAGGAAATTGGTTATTCCACCACTGCCCTGAATGGATTTACAGCCAAATTCATAAAAGCTAGACAAATGAAATTTCCACTAATGACAGTGTGAACTGGAAAACCTCACCAGGTGTTTTTATATTTGGTTTACCCTGAATCAAGAGAATGTGGAATGTGATTACCTAATCCATTTTGACAGTCAGAAAAAGAAATGCGGTGCACAGCTCGATTGATTCCATGAGGGCCCATGATAGTCCTAAGGAATAAAATGAAATCCATTAAATCCCTCTGCAGCATCCCTTCTTTCCCCAGTGAAAAATCAGTCTCCTCACAGCTAATATTAGATGGCAAGGTAAAACGAAGTACACGTACTTTAATTCCTCTTCCCCCAAAGCATTTCAGGCTGAATGATGAATTCCACTTTCTTTATAATAAAAGGATTATAATTACAGAGGAACAAAATCCCACAGTCTGGATCAGCTTAGCTTTTGGGCAAAACCCCCATATCATAACATCTTAGATCAGGTAATGAATACTGACCCAAAACCACAGTGAGGACAGTGTATACAAAAATGTTTTCTAAGATATCTAACATAGAACTTTGAGGTGAAATTTTCTAAAGGCAGACAAGTATTCTGGAGGTAGCTGATAATGCTGAAAAATTAAGGAAGGATTAAGAGTTCTGAAGCCCACACTTACAGTTCCATCAGAGACACCATCAGCATCAGCTCTGAGAATGCAAAGAGTCAAGAACTCCTATAAATCCAGGTTACCCATTACCAATTTTATTTTAATTTAGATGAATGATCATTAATAATCCAAGTGTCTTTTTTACCCAGCTCCTTTGTCCTCTCACTTTGGAGTAGTCTCACCAGATCCCTTCCAGAAAAAAGCAGAAGCACCACTTAGGTTTTTCTGCTTTGACCTACATATTGGTCTATATTAGGTAGGGAGTTGCATTTTCTAGAGCATAATGTTGAAGTGAAATGGAACAACCAGAAATCATTAGCAGAGGGGAAAAGAAGATCACAGTGGAGGACAGTGACCCAAATCCTCCCATGCTACCAAATCCAGCACATGGCCTGAACTCTGTGCCTGAAACTGGGGATTTCTGCGAACCCACAGTACATGGCATTAAACAGTGCCATGCCAGAGGGAAGAGAGAATTCCAGAAGGTCCAGATGTTCCTAAATTCTAGCCCCAGGCAGGAGATCCAGCTTCTGAACAACGTACATAATTCTTTCTGGCTTTGTGTAAGAAAACGGGATGAGATTTTTATCAAGGGATAAGCACTTGCTCTGAAAAGCAAGAATTTGTTCCACAACCTCAAATTCCCAAGTATTTGCAGAATTAGCCCTTCCTTTAGAAATGCTGGCCGTAAGAATGGACCTAATAATTCAGCCTTAGAAACACAGAAACAGGAAGGCTGTGCTTCAAACACCCACCTTCACTGCAGTATCTCTTGAAGTGTCTGTTTCACAGGCTAAAAGGAACTGATGACACCCAGTTAGGTATTTGGGCACTGACAAGACTGCACATGACCTTGCCCCTATTTGACAGACATAAAGTATACTTTCTAAGGCTAAAAGTGATTCAAACTGCTTTTACTTAATCACAGTCTGAAAGAAATAAATCCTTAAAACTGCTATTTCTCTAACAGAACTTTGCTGATACGATTACTCCTACAACAGCAGAGTACTTTGAATTCCTACCTAGTATTGTCACTTCAATTATCCCATGAATTTAAACTGTTTTGAAGCTAAAAGGCAACACACTAGTCATGCCCTTTACAGGTCTGTCCTGATTTGTACCCACCTTTGAAAACTTAAACAAGGTACTATGATCTTTAAAACAGACAGACAATTATTCTGGTTTTCTGTGTCTTGCCTTTTGCTACTCCTATTCTGTTCCTGGCTCTGCCACCCTCTCAGCAGTTCTCACATAGTGGCTTTTAGTACAATAAAAAAGCAAGAACAAATGTTATTCCAACCTCACACAGAAGTTTACTTCAGTAAAGCCTGAAAAGATCAAATCTCAGACTTGAAAGTTCAGAGTTCACCAGGAATCACAGAACCTACCTATATGCAACCAGGCAGCATGACTGTATAAATATGATCTAATCTAGGCACAGAACACTTCAGAAAGGATCCACATTTCTAGAAATAACAGGAAATACTTTCAAAAGACACATCATAACCACAGACAAAGAGGATACAGAGAGTATACAAACTGCTAATTCACAACGGAGAGGAGTAAGATATCTCTGAACTAGTGAAATTGTCATGATTTCACACCACACAGAATTAAAAAGAACTGACACTTTGACCAGACACCTTTACAAAACATTCAGTTTGTATTTATGCTTTAAAGATTAAATCCCTTCAATACACGTGGTTTAAAGTAACTTTATCACATAAAAGACAAGGATCTTCAAGCGCCCCAAATTTGTTTAGCATACTGCCTCTTGCTGACTTCTGGTGTTAGTTTTGAATCCCATATAATGTAAGAGATGGATCTTCAAATTAAACAATCGGATGTCACGGCTCATGCCTTGAGAACTCATGCAAAACCACTTGTAAGCAAGGGTTTAGCACACAGAAAACACGAGACAACACATCAAACAAACAAGCAATGCTCCATAATATTTAACCGTGTAACACTAAAATATACTAAACTCAATGCTCTGACAGAAGTTCTGCGATGCTGATAGACTGGGCTAGTATCCTTTTGTGTAGATGGTCTATTAAAGGCAATTAAAATGAAACCTTTTATACTGTTTCCGGCTAGTTTTTAGCAGCATACACAAGGAAGTTCACAGCTTTATGTTTTGTATGTTCTAGAGCCTTAGCAGAATATACAGCTGTGCACATTCCTCTGATCTGTATTTCACCTTATTAGTCATTTTTGTGTACAGACAAACTATTTACCTAGGTTTACCAATGGATGAATAATACCCTTCCCTCTCAAAATAAGTATTTGACACAAAAATCTAAATTATAAACTTCATCTGCTAATGAAAAGAAGCTGAGAAAATCTACAGCTTTTAAATTATCTTTACTGTACTTTCCCCAATTACAGACTAGAAAATGCTATCGGTACCTAATGGTTAAGCATACCAGTATAAGAGAGAAAGACCATCAAAACGCTCTGGTTCATCTTCATCTCCTGGTGAGAGCAAAGACATTCTTCAGCACAGCAGCAAAGGCAGTGACAAAGCAACCAAAATACACCCGAGGTTTCCAATTCAGCCGGATACAGGGTACGTGCAGGACAATTTCTGCTACTAAAGAAAACCCCAAACAGACAGAGCTCGAGACGAGTGTCTCTGCCTACTTAATCTGCTCTGAAACCCTCTGCGTCACATGGACTAATTCACCTATCAAGGTAATGTTTACTTTTTCTCTCTTTCAAATGGAAATGTATAGCAATTTTAAACACTGATAAATGCAAAGGAGAGAAAATTGCCTTGCACTTGGTACGGCTGTGATTATAGAGTCTCTATCCAGCAGCTGAAAGCAAATGCAGTAATTAAAGCAAACTTATTTTCTCATGTGCTTCCAATAGTTCATTTAGACACTCCCTCCAAACAAGGTCAAAAGCAGTAACTCATGACCTTTCTAAAGCAATCTTCCTAGCAGACTGGATTATGTACATCCACACACAAAAGGGAAAGCCAGCAAAGTAGACAGACTGAAAGCATTAATGAAACAAATGCCAACATGCTATTACTTTACATTCTCAATCACAGCATTCACTTGTGGCATGCTTTAATCTGGTTTTTAGAACTTCAATATTCAACAGTCAAAAGATAGCACAGAAGTTTTATATTTTCTCTAGAAATGGAAGCTGATACATGGTCTTGGTGGGTTTTTTTTTTGTGAAATCAAATAAAAATGGTGAATTTATATCATTACACTGAGCATAATCCAGGTGATAAAAATATATACCACTGTTCCCAGAGGTAAGACTCTCTTCTGATCTGAGGCTGGCTCTGTCAGAGATGTGAGTATCTTTAGGAGATCTGAGCACTCGACATCAGCTCTGTTAACTGCTATTTCCTTCCACGCTTGCACCAGAACACGCACTCCCATTACTCCCCCTCTTTCAAAGATCTTACAGAGATTGCAGTTTAAAAAGAAAGCCAAACATTCTATCTTCACCGAGTTTCAGTAGAAAGGGAGTAACCCTGTGATGAGACAGCATCTGTCAGCGTCTGGAGCTGCACAGCAGGACAGCTCGGCTATGCCAGGAATGCACACACTGAGCTCAGGCACCTTCTTCTGTTTTAAAGTTGTAGTGACTGTGGTTTCATTCTGAGCAAGATCTGTTTGCTCAGGTGATGTGCTGTGTAGTGTTCAGTCCACTCTGAATGCCTGAGGTAAAGAAGGGTGAAGCGACCCACCACAGATGAAGGAGCAAAGCAGTGGTAGAAGTGGGGAATATGAAGCAGCCTCCACAGTTCCCAGAGTGTATAGAGCTCCACTGGACTGCTCACATCCATTCAGTGAAGAAAATCTGACCCTTTGTAAACTTTTCTCCATCAGTTTAACCCTGTTGGCATCACAGTCTGATATGAAAGAAAAGCTACTGATATTCCAAGGACCGTGATCAATTAGATGTGTCGCAGGCCAGGTTACAGAACATAAAATGCCAACAGCCTTTTTCCGACAAAACTGTCTTGGCAGCAGAGGAATTCAGTCAGTGGTATCAGTATGAGGAACATTCATCAAAACAAATCACTCAGACCAATACAACTTATTCCCAGAGATGTGCTTTCTGCAACAGAAACGCACCCACCACCCACCTCCCATTAAAAGTACAGCTCCGGGCTATGCTTTTCCATCATTAAGCAGCAAAAACTTAGTTTTATTAGACCAGACATGACACACTTCCAAACAATTTAAGCACATATAAACTAGAATTAAGCTTATTGCTCTCAGCCCTTTTTATTAGAGTTATTATCAGTAATACATCACTTGTTCAAACAACTGCTCCTCCATCCCTCCTTCAATGTAAACGATACATACTGAACTCACCCCCAAAGCTTCAGTCCCTCTTTACCTGAAAATTCTGCTCCTGTGCTGCTTTTAGTGTTTCTAAAGGTCTCATATAGAAAAATGGTATCGCTGCTTCTCTTGCAAGTTCCCTTCCATTCAAGAACATACTCAGGGGAACAGAAATTACTTCTTCCTTCCAGAAAGATCTAGGAATACTGTAACAGCTTCAAACTCCATAAAATCTAGTATCAGTAAGGCTAAATTTTCAAGAGACATCATTTGTTACTTTATGCAGCAAACAAACTGGGACCTGTTCTCAAACAGCCAGTAAACTATTCTATTCTGGCAACACTATTACGACTCGCCTTTCCCAAAGGAAGTTTTGTAATGCTTTAGCAACTGAGACAGATTACAGGAGGATTTATCATGACAGAAAGATGTGCAGAATCTTCAGAGCCACGATTCACGAGATCTTTGTGTTATAAATACAACAAAGGTCTGTTACAAAAATCCTGTACAAGTCAATCATACCTTTCAGGTTCATTAACCCTAAACGGGTTATGGTATTAAGGACGACAGCCAAGAGAACGCTGTATCGTACGGTGTGAGCAAACACTGCTGATCTATCCAAACCCGCCAATTATGCAAAATACATTTTGCTGATTAGGTCATAAAGATTAAAAGAAAACACATGTCATTATATGGCAATTGTTAAACATGAAAAAAGGCTTGAGCAACACTGCAATTGGAGGGAGGCATGAATGGTTTGGGGCTAAGCCCTTGTGTAGAGAGGAAAGGTATTATTTAAAGTTTAGGTAAACCTCAATTAACATATAACCATGTGCATTCTTGAAGCATTGTGCATTGATACTGTCTCCCAGAAAATAAATAGGTATAGAAAATGATAGTCTTCCACCACCATGCAGCTGAAGTGCAGTTATATGCACCTTTCATGCATCTCTTACACTGGAATTCAGTGCTCTAGTACCTATTCATATAATGCACCTTCCACAAGTGTGGCAAGTCACAGCTGTTTTGTAGCTGTATCTTTTATCACATTCCCTGCATTTCCAGCAGAGGAGTGTTTGCTTCCCAGTAAAAACCAAATGCACTTTTTCACTATTTTGTGGATTTATTTAAAAAAAAAAAAAACTTATTTATGAGGTGGCATAAATCAAAATCTATGCCGAACTGTTTGACAAAGCTTTTGAATACCATTTGCTGGATTCTATTGCACAAGCACAGCAAACACGATAGTCCAGCAAGAGCTGCCTGTGCCTGTTTGTAGTTAAGGTTTTGATGACAGTGTTGGCATGGTTAGTTAGATGTTTGGGAGTTAGGATTTTAAATCACACTGAATCCATGTCTGCCACTTCGAATCCGATCCAGCTTTTAAGTGGATAATATTACAGTTTAGGGAATTAATATAATTACCATTTAATATCCCATAGCACTGATAAAAACCAAGGTGGTTCCAAAGCACTCCATACAAAATATTAAAGCATGCAGAGTATTCTCAAAAAGTAATGCATTTTCATACATAAGCTCTATGCAATGTCTTACATTACTGTAGGTGCCCTAGATGTACAAGCGAGTCATTTGCTATGTACTTTACAAATATGTTTTCATAGCTGGAGAAGCATCGAGGAATTTCTATGCAGGGTTCTATCTCTACAGAACCAGCTCAAACCAAGTGCTGATTAACTTAATGAAAAGCTTCAGAGCTATTTCCTCACTTTATGTGTAAATTCACTGGTGTTGGTATTAGCTTTTCCAAGAGTTTGCTTCAGGCTGTTTCAATAACAAAGCTATTTTATCAAAACAAGATCCTACTAATGAAACTGCAGATTACAACCCAGCAATGGTACCCCTGTGTGTGTGCATAAGGGGATAAAAGTACTTACTTTTCATCTGTATTTGGTAGGGGGTCTGTACTGGACATCTTCTTAGGCGCACTACTTTTGTTAAAGATCAAAATGAAGGATTCTGACACAGGTAGCTCTGGCTCCTAAGCAGGATAATAACTGCTGAAAGAAAGGAGAAACCACTTCTTGAAACCTACAGGGCAATGTTTATTATCAGACACTGATAACTATTCTTGTTTGTTACTGACCAGCTGAAAGCACATACTCTTCATCACAAAGAACATACACTTCATCACTGAAGAAAGGAAGCAGTTAACTCAGGCTGCACTACATATTGTACCAAAACTTCTGACATCTTAACTTCCTCTTCATTTATGAGACAGGAATTAGGGTCAACCTGAACCCCATGTGATTAAAATCTAAGAAATGAAATAGCTGAGATTACAACTCCAGGATAAATCAGTGTAACTGCTAAAGACAAAGCCAATCTATTTCCAGGGAAGGTTACTTGGGGAGGGAATCTTGTTTTGAAGATGATCGGGTGTTTGTGCCATGTTTTCTCCCTTTTTTAAACTTAATGTCTAGTGTTTGGGCCTATGGAATTCTCACGTGAAATATGTCAGACATAGGCCAAAACACATGGAAAATGGGGTTACTCACCACTAATGTAGCAGAAAACAGCAATTCACATTGTACTTTTATTAGTGCATATGACAGGGTGACAAGAAATACAACCCTACATGTACTGAGCTATGATCATTTGAAAGATTACTGCAACAGTGCTAATGCAAAATTACCCCTTTGCATCAGTAGCAAAACCTCATGAGCCCTCACACGACCACCAACCAGGAAAAATCACTACTCCTAAGACATGATACAAGCAGGACAAGGAACTCTCTGAACAATGCACAGGCAGAAGGCAGCCACAGGTGCTACTGGCACCAGTGGTATGCTACAACCTGGGCTGAAATACAACAGCCTCCCTGGGTGCACAGTGCCAGCCTCCATAAAAACCCACTGAACAATTCCTGCTGTATTTCTGCATGAAAAAAAAAACAGGGGGAAGTTCACTTTGGAATAGCACAAGTTTTTCTGCAGTAAATGTTTCAGATCTGTTGCTAAAGGGTCTGCAAAAAAACACCGTTTAAATGGAGGAGACCACACAATATCGCTTCATTCTGGGCTTTGTGATCCTCTTATTCAGCACATCTAAATGGTAAAAGAAGTGGTACCAGGAGCAGCAAAGGCACTGAATGATTCACGTTACTGCAACCGGCACAAGAGAAGAGCAGCAGCGCCCTGAAGCAGCAAACTCGAGCACTGCTACGGCAAAGTTTGTTCTAGCGCAGGGGCCACCTGTCCCGGTGGCTGCTGTTTGCAATCGGTCTCAATCACTGCAGCGTGTCAATACCTGTGCCTAAACAAAACCAAATCCTTACACCCTACAGAGCGAACCTGAACGGGGAAACACCGGTGTCAGCGTCCAGACAACAGCGGGAAGACGAAGGGATGGAGTCTCCTCTCCCTGTTGGTACCCCGCAGCAGTGCCCGCTCGCTCTCTACACACAACGCTCGGTGATGAGGCGCCTCAACACCTCCCTTCAGGGGAAGGCGAAGGAGACTTCACCCCCGCCTGTCCCGCGACCGCCGCCGCCGCTCCCCGCCGCAGTGACCCCTCTGCGGTACCCGGGCAGGACCCACCGCTCCCGGCCGCGCTTCGCTACTGGCAGAGCTCCGTCGGCCCCGGCGGCAAACAAAGCCGGTCCGGGGCCCTCCGGTCCGCACGGCTGCCACCGTTACCTCGATTCGCTCAGCGCCGCCCGAGGCAGGGACAGAGCGGCCGCGGCGGGACCAGGGCGAGCCCTCAGCGCCGCGGGAGGGCGGCGCACGGCAGCCGGGCGGAGG